TGCTGCCATATAGGCAGCTTTGAACTTCCATCCCAAACTAGTTGCAGATCCTCTAAATTTGTGTGTCATGTTACGACGCAGATGAGCAACACAAAAATCATGGCTAGCATGTGGCAAGATTTCAGAAACAGCCTTTATAAGACCTTTATGCCTATCAGATACTACATAAAGGTCATGTCTGTACTGTATTGACTGACAGACTTTGGATAAAAACCATTTCCAAGAAGATTTTGTTTCAGACTCACAAATACCAAATGCAATAGGAACTATGTGACCATTGGCATCTTGACAACAAGCTGTAAGAAGAGTGCCTTTATAGTAAGCTTTGAGGAATGAACCATCCAGTATAAGAACAGGTCTACAGTAAGGCCAAGCTTCTATCCATGCGCTGAATGACATAAAAAAGGTACAAGATGCATCATCCTTCCCTGTGACTAGATCAAACATAGAGCCAGGATTCGCCTTCTCAAGCACATAAGCCATAGAAGGCAAAACCTGATAGGATTCAAGATCAGAACCAAATTGTAGTTGCATTGCTTTCTTCTGTGCTTTCCAAGATTTTTTGTATGACATGGAAATTCCATACTGCATACTCATGTCTTCACGAATTTGTTTTGGTGGGTACGGTTTAATGGAAGCATCAAGGTATTTGTGTGCAATAAGTTTTGCTGTCACAGTAGCAGTTGCCTGTCTATGTTTGCCTTATCTATAATCAATAGAGCATGTGTGTTCTGGACAGAATCTAAAATGACAAAACAATGACATTTTTATACAAGTGAGTAATATACATTTGGCATTCTTGGCCAAGAATGTCACCAATACATGGCATTCTGATAAACAAGAATTAACAATGAAGGCAAACAAAAAGAATGAAATTAGAAATTACCTTCTGATTTGAAACATTTGTACGCCACTTAGTCTTACAGCTCGAACAGTCCAATGACATTTAGGATCTAAGCAAATAACATGTAAAGATATTTTCCTAGAGGTCTTTGTTCTGTATTGAAAGTGGTTTGTGATAGCATACATCTTGAGGTGGTGGATAAGGTCTGTTTTACTTTTGTAAATAGCATATAGAACAAGACAAGTAGGATGGGACTGTGTGATGACTTCAAAATTGTGGAGAAATGATAGTGACTGAGATGATTCTATTACTAAGCCATCTGACATGTCATCCATGCCTTCATCACTGTCTTCAGAAGTTTCAATTTCTACAGCTCTAGACACAGTGTTACTACAAGAAGCAACATCTTGAGAGTGTCTACCAGAGATGTTAACATTTTCAGTGCAAAAAGATGAGCTATGATCAAAAGAGGGTGCAGGTGAGGAGGCATGTTGTTGGGAAGAAACAACAACAACATTCTCAGCAACAAGAAGTGAATGAGTTGAAGAAATGACAACATTTTTAGCTGAAGGAAAAGCAGAAGGTTCAACACCAACAAAAGATGGATATGAAGAAGAGATAGGATAAAACTCAACACAAAGTGGATACTTTAGAAAATCTGGTTGAAGAGACTTGATATAAAGATAAAATGTTAAGGTAGATTGATCATTTATAGTTACAGGAGGAGGGAATCCATCTCGCATATAAGAAAGCCTGAAATTATGATTAGGTTTGTACTGAGAAAGGATGGCAGTCAACATATCAACAAAACAAGCATATTGAACACCATAGTTAACATGAAGCCCACATGTGTGCACATTGGTGAACACATAGTCAGAATCCCAAAAACCATCCACCTTGAGCATAACAAGTAAAACAGGATCCATTGTGCAAAAAGGTTCCTAAAAAATTGAAGGAAAAACAAATATTTCAGTATAACGGAAGCATGAAAGAAGAAAGTTGGTTATACTAAAATGACAGTTTGCGTGAATATGTGACAGTCTATAAGGATGTATAAATAATATTTACAACACAAAATGTCAAATCAGCAAACAATACAAAATGACAGTTAGAAATACAAAAGAGCCAGTTTTGAAGAACCTAATCTAGTACTTACAGCAAGACACAATTTAAACACCAACATTAAACGCAGAAATAGCAACATACGAAGAAATTTTATGAAATAAAAGTATTGATAGAGTTCATGAAAAGCAAACGGGCTAAATTATTAACAATAATGAATTTGAAATCGATTATAAAAACTATGAATTTTTTTGCTAATATTGTAGAAGCAAAATACAGAGGAATAAAACAAATTGATGATTGCAGAACGACATGTGTACAACTGACGAATTGACATATTCTAGAAGCAAAATGCAAGCAATTGCAACATAAATTTAACCATGATTGGTGAAGAAGGACGATACAGGAAAGTTTCGGTGAACATACTCTGCAAACGAACGAACAATGGCTAAAGAAGATGAATGCAGAGGAGAAGGACGAACAGCTCAAACAAATCCAACTGTAGCAATGATGACCGAAGAAGAAGAATGTCGCCCAAAAGCAGAGTACGTCAACTGAATTCCCAACTGATTTAGGAAACTAATTTTCTGGAAAGAATCTCGATGAAAGAGGGAAACTAACGGAAACTCATAAATGCTTTCACACATAGATTACCGAAAATAGCAGGTAACACCTGCGGCTTAATGTCAAACATAGGCAGGAGTATTTTGGATATTGCCTAAAGTGTTAAACATACATATAGAACCGTATAACTCCTATTAGGGGAATAAAACATAGTAAGTCCTATTATGGCTTTTTAAGTAAGTTTTAGTCCTATTATGGACAATTTTTTCTACTTACGTTGTTCAATTGGTTTCCCAGGTTTATGCATGTTTCTCATACTTCACACTTTATGGCTGTTAAGCATATTTAAAGGTTACATACATGGCTTAAGTAATCATGGATTTCGTTGCATTCCAAAACTCCTCTCTCAGTCATAGTGGCTTATTCATATGCTGATTGAGTTCGCCGTCCGGACACCTCCCGCTCCACCACTGGTTATGCCATTTGGGGGGGGGGGGGGGGGGGGGGGTAATCTTGTTTCTTAGTGTTCCAAAAAACAGCCTACGGTGTCTAAGTCCTCTACAAAAGCTCAATATCACACAATAGCCTACACCATTCAATATTGATCATGTACACAGAAAAACAGCATACACACAAAAGTCCTTTTATAGATAGATATATATCGCAATATATTTTTAAATGAAAAATATAATACATTTTGATCATGCACGTAAAGAGATGTCTAAATATTATTAAAACTCTAAAGTTTTTTGCTCACAGACCTTTAGTACTGTCCTCACAAACCATCATGAGCCTTTATTGCGCACTTTGTCCTCACTCATGCTCGTGCACGTCCTGAGAAACTTCTCAGGTGGTCACCCATCCCAAGACTACTACCTGCTTCTATACATTTTCTAAATAAATTATTTGAGTTAGTGATGTTGTTACTTGTTAGTTCCCGCTCCACAATTAATAATCATAACAAAAAAGATAGATAACAAATATGACTCTGTTACAGAATCTATAAGTACAAACATTAATATAATACTACGTATTTATTGTCTATCTAAAATTTTGTTAAAAATTGTATACTTTAGAATAATAGTTTTATTTTCTATGTCATCATGCATTATGAATATTAAATTATGGTTGAAAATAATTTCCCTTTACAAGTTTAATTTGATGTCTTTACAAAAGAGTTTAGAGTTAATTATGCATATAGGACTAAAAGTCGGTCCGTTTGCACAAATAGGACCAAAAAATAAACTATGTTTCATAGGACTAATTATGCATGTCTTGGATCAATATACACTTATAGCAATTGAAATGTTTTAATTCATAATAAAATAATAAAAAATCGTAAAAAATACTAAAAAATTAATGAAAATATTTAACAAATAATAATTTAAAATTATTTGAAAAAAGGAATATTTTTAAAAAAAATAAAAAACGCAAAAAATAAAAATTGCCCGCCCAAGCACCACCACCTCCGGTCACCGGGGGGGATGCCAAATGCATTAGGAATGCCATATTTATGGCAAATTCAATGAAAATTTTGGCATTCTCAAAGAGTAATATGCCATGTTTTTGGTATTTTCAGGAAAAAAGGGCATTTTTTAGAAAAAAATGATATATTTTTACACCGGTCGGAGGTGATGGTGCATGGAGGCGGTACAAGCGGTGGGAAAGGCATCCATTTTATATTTTATGAATTTTTACTGTTTTTTTAATTTTTTAATTTTTTTTTTATAAATATTTTAATAATTTGTTATTATTTTTCTACGATTTTTATTATTTTTTACGAATTTATTATGAATTAAAACATTTAATTATGACTTTTGACTATCTTTTACTCATATTTAAAGGAGGGGTATGAATGAAATGAAAAAATAGATATGTTTCCAAATACTTCGTAGGAGTAATATGGTCCTATTTTGAAATAAAAACATAAGATGCCCTATTTTTTATTTTTGCCATAATTTTACTCCTAATTTGGGGTAATTTCTGAAGAGTTTAATTTGATATATAATTTAAGATTTCATTTTAAGTCAATATTGACCGTTTTTTCGATATTGACTGGGTTGACCTGCCAGCTCGATTGACCTTGACCCAATCATTTGGCCCGGTCACTTCCCGTTCCGGTTTCAGTACCCGTCCTTGGACCACTATGGTCATAGTGGGGTAGGGGAAGGCGGTTCAAGCCGGGGCTTTTTTTCGAGGTCAAGGAAGCCTCCCGTCCAATTTGTGAAAATCAAGGCCCGAGCCCGGCCCGCTAGACTTGCCCAAACCGGGCTAAAGCCCGGAACCGGTTCTTGGGACGGTTCGAACCGGTTGGGTCCATCCCTATAGTGGGGTGGCGTAGTTTGGACCGTGCCCAGCCCGCTTAACTCAAGGGTCACCTCATTGGGACGGGAGGCCTCCTTGTTCAAACAAAACACACATCCAAAGAAAAATGCACACTTTTCTGTCATATGAATCATGTGAGCATTGCTATCATGGCTCTATAGTCTATAACATCCCCCCCCCCCCCCCCCCCCCCCCCCAAGAAACCGAACTACTGAAGAACACATTGATCCCAAAAGCTCAAAAAATGCAACGTTAGAGAATAAACACTATTACACTAATACCAATATGCAATATCAACCACAATCAGTATTTGGGAATAAGCACAATAAAGCACAATCTCAATACACACACACCCAATGACCCAATGCATGCAGAAAAAGCTTCACACTACAAAAGGAAAACAATCTAGCCACACAATGGGGTCACACAAATCTGTTAAATGGTTTCCTATCAACTGAAGCTGGCATAGAAACAGCAGAATCCACACTCAACCTATCCGCACTTCCACTAAAATCCTTCAGAGATGAAGCACCGCCTTTGCTGGAACCTCTGTTCCACTTGAATGACCCCACATTCAAAGGATAGGATAACCTCCTGCCTGAGTGACTGGATGGGGTTCCTATACTTCCCTCCCTTGGACTGGCTTTGGCTTTGGCTGAAATGGTAGGTGACATGTAATTTGGAACTGAATATGGAGGACAGCTTGTTAGGCTGTCATCGTCCTTCGAAGGGAACTTATAAGGTGAACCGGCAAAGCTGGCTCCAGAGTGGGCATACTTTTTTCTTAGGCTTGAAGAAGGAGGTGTTCTACCAGGAGTATGAAATGGTTTTGGTCTTGCTGGAACTGATGACTTTGTTGATGTTGGGGTATCTGCTTCAAAATGTCCACCATACTCGGTGTAATTTCTTAGTAGAGGTCTTGGTGTGCACTCTGAAATTGCCCTTGCTGGTGATTGATGGGATTTTTTAACAGCAGACTGGCTTACAGAATGATTTACAGAAGGTAGTGCATGCTCTAACCACTTCCACCACAATGGGAAACCATTTGATTGGATGTTCATTTTGTATTTAGGATTGGCTTTCCAAAGCTGCATGTAGATTTTTAGAATATAAAAAAAAAGGAAAAATAAACTGAACTTGAAAAACAGTTGCATATGGAGACTGTAGTAGTGTTATATTCCATCCATCTCTAAATGGTTTGCTAATTTATTTTTCATGTACCCAACAACAAATCTTTTTTTCTCTGATTTTGTGTATCGTATTCGAATTCAGTATTTGAGGTTCAATAAAACTTTTAGAATAATTTCTAAGTATGCTTTAACTATTAATAATACTTTAAATATTACTAGCAATCTTTCCATGTGTTATTTAGCCTACTTGTTTATATACATCTTTGCTTATTTGCGTGATAGTTTGCTTGTTTACTTGATTTTGTGCATTTCACTTGCTTTCTAGTTTCTACACAGCCTTTCAGCAATGCCTTTCATATACTAGGTTTGTTTGGTTTATATATTCCTAATCATAGATCATGCATATACATAAAACTTCCATTCTAATTTACCTTATGAGAATATGCATAAGCCATGGCTCTCTCTCTCTTCATGGTTGCCTCTAGTTTTTTTTGTCGTCTTTCATCAACTTCATCTTTGGTCAGCCTGCTACCATCCCAATTCTCATTGTGACCTGCCTCAGACTAAACAAAATAAATGGAATTAGCATTAAACGGCATCAAATTTATCTTTTTAAATAACCGTACTTTTTACATAGAAGGTAAGAAACTATTTTTGATGGGATAACTGCACTAGATCAACAACTTTTAGTTTGTACTTTGTAGTATAATTTGGTTCAACAAGACTTACAAATCAAATGCATATAAACATAAACTTACCGGCAGGGACCATTTGCTCAAGGTGCTCTCCCCGTCCTTATAATTCTTGGAAGTCTGCCACTGGGCTGCTTGGTTTTCTGTCATTTCGATCCTACGTAATCGAATTTGATTTTGTATCCTAACAAAAAGATGCATCTGTTTCATGGCATTAACGGTTTGCTTTTTGACATTATCACCTCTAATAAATCCTTGAAGCCTCAGTAAACCCCTCAAAGATCTGAAATTCTTCCTCGCCTGTTATGTCAGAACTAGTGTTAACAAGTTGCATACATCTACCTAACGGTATCTATTTTCGTGCTCTGTATGATATATTTGGGTCCCATAAATTTCTAGGGAAAGGAAAGAAAATGTAAACTACAGTCATATTCTTATGTTTGGCTGTATGTCACAAAATGAAAAGGAAAATAAGATATAATTAATGTTTGTAAGCTTTCCCATAGATTTAGATTTCTTTGTGTTTATATAAAAGAAGTAAATTTAAAAGTTCAATTCCTCATCATCATCATTACCCCAGTGACGCAAAGGCTCCCACCTACGATGGGGCAAGGTGGGATCGAATGTACGCAGTCTTACCCCTGCACTAAAGCAGGGAGAGACTGTTTCCGGATGATCCATAGTGAAAATAACGTCAAAAATTGCTTGGACTGACAACTGTTTCATAACAAAGAAGCGCAAACAGTTTAGTGAACCATTTTGCTTTATTCCATCATATTCCCAAGCCAAAAAAATAGTGAATCTTTGGCTCCGGTCAAAATTCAATTGAATAAAAAAAATCATAAATGTATCGAGTTTGAACCAGTGTTTTATTTTCCTCAATTTTTCATACAATTTCATTCTTATTTTCTTTCCTTAGCATTTTTCAACTTCCAAACTGCCCTATAAATATCCTCCACCAGAATGAGAGAACAAATTTACAATAAGCATGAAGATCCATAATATGACCTGTAATTTCTGGATAAGGATTTAATGCCAAATTGCCTAGAAACTACAACAACAACAACAACAACATCCAAGCCTTTGTCCCAAAAGATATTGGGGTCGGCTAACATGAATCGATACATGATATCACAACCAAAAGGAAAAGAAGGACTAAAGTGACTAGAAACTAAATCAAAGGAAAAGTAAATTATAACTTTCAAAGTGAAACACAAATCGTAGCATACCCCACACATTAGTTTACTAGATGCTTACCATATATAGTTACTAAGCATGAAGGTACATGATATGCACAACAATTTTTGGATGAACAGCGTAATGCATAATAGCTTGAGGGTGAACTTAAAACATTGTATGATTAAATATGTTGAAGAGTTTGTGTAACAAATCAACATATGAGATATTGAGCTACTCTTCTTATGAGGCTTACCGCTCATTAGTTGCTACATTGATGTGGAGCAAATTTTCAACAAATTGTAATTTTCAACATTCAACACAAATGATAGTGTATGGCCCCATATATTAGTTTAGTTAGAAGCTTACCATGTAACCCCTAAAGATTGACTGGATCCTAATAGCTGAAAGTTGAAGCACTTGAAAAGTTGGTTCTGCTCTATAAACATTACTGGTTTCTTTGCGGTTCTGGTTCACCTTAGAAGAAGCAAATCTGGGAGAAGCCGCCTTAGGAGAAGCAGACTTTGGAAGGGCAACATGAGAAGAGGCAGCTTGTTGGGAGCTAACTATGAGAGGGTCAGGCTTTGGGGATGCAACCCTTGGAGAAACTTCTCTAGGAGGGGAATGCTTAGGAGACACATCTCTGAACGGAGTAGTCCGGGGGGGAGTACTCCTAGGAGACGTTGGCCTCTCAGAAACGATTTTTTGTTGTTCAGAATATAGAGGAACAAGTTGCCTCTGCTCATCTATCTCTCCCAATATCTTCTCAATACTACTTGGTTCTCTGAAAATAAATGACTTCAACTCGCCACGCTTCAGTATTCTTCTACGGCCCTTCTTCTTTTCCTGATATATTGTCTTTTCTGGCCCCTGCGTTACATTCAGTGCAAATTAGGTGACTAGGTGAGAGATCTTGCAATTTTATTGAAAAACAAAAGTATAACGGTGTTCTCTAGAAAAACTGTGAACATTTCTAATGGTATGGACCAAATATGTTAAAGCGAGTTACATTGACTTCTTAGCTCTTTTTTACTTTTAGGATGTTGTCTTTTGGATTGAAATTTGCTAGTCAGGTCTCTATGTATTTTATAACTACGGAAGTCTGATTTGGTCTGGTCTGATCTGATCTGGTCTGGGACTGAAAACAACTGAAAACAGTCCAAAAGAAAACATCCTTAGTCCTTAACTATTGTGGCAACAACATGTTTGGGCTCTGCCCTTGAGAACTTTTTCACTTTTGGTCCCTTAACTATTATGACCACACAGTTTTGGTACCCATCTCTAAAGTTTTCCCCATTTAGTTCTCAAGCTATTTGAGACTAACATTTTTTATGTTCCGACTATTGTGACAACAGCACTTTTGATACTCGCATTTGAATATTTCCACAATAACCGAAGGACCAAAAGTGTTACTATCGCCATAATCAAACAGCCACAACGGAAAATTTCAAAGACAAGTAATAAAAGTTCTATGTCACAATAATTTAAGAACTAAGTGAAGAAATATAAAGACACTACCAAAGGTGTCATTGTCATAATAGTCAGAAGGCTAAAAGTGGGAAAATTCACAAATTAACTTCTCCTATAGACTTCCTTCACTACTGTATAATATTGTAAATGTACAACAAGGAAGCTAGAGAAAGGAATGGAACTATCAACTTACACTGATGCGCTTATCTTTGGAAGAAGAATGTGGAGTAAAAAATACTCTTCTGATGGCAGAAAACCAACTCCCTTTCTTTCCCATTTTCAAACCACTACTTCTTCACCCTACAAGAGCCACTATAATAAGAAATTATTGCATATTTATCACTTAAATAAAAATTGTTTCAAAAAATGTGACCTCTTAGGGGTAGTGACTATAGCAGTAATTTTAGTCATAGTAATTTATGTTCAATTTTTACACTTAAGTGACCATGACACTATACTCATAGTAATTTTGGTCATATTGTTTTACACATACGTAGTATGTTTTATTTCAGAGGTATTGTTGAAGAAAAAAAAAACTCAAAAAGAAATAGACTCAATGAAAAATTAATAAACAACTTTTTAGCACCAGCAATTCAGAATTGGTAAAACGATCAATATTTACATGAGATAGTCGATGAGATGTATAACTTACTACATAGTAGCTATTACCATAACATACTAAAGCTATGAAGATCCAGGAAAATGCTAGGGAAAGAAAAGGAAAGAAGAGCTGATTTCTTATGTTTGAATTTACCTCAAGAAATGAAAAGGAAAATGAGATATTACTAATTTCATAAAATGTATTCAAACAAACATTAAAAATAAATTTATTTTGTTTGAGCGAATTGTTTCTTTTCTCAGTAATTTCCACCCTTATAATGTTTGCCCCAGCATAATCCGCGTTTGAATGGACCCTGAAAGATGGGAAAAGTCTTTGCTTTCCTCTCCAAGACTTATAAGCGGGCAAATAAATACAGTAAGAAAATACGAAGGGGAAACACAGCAAGAAAAGGTGCATTTTCAAGAAAAGTACAGACCAAAATTCTCACAGAAACAATGAGGGAGAGGAAATTAAAGGCCAAGACAACAAGATATCAGCACCCATACATAATACACCTGAAAGTTCAAACAAAAAAGTCGATTTTTCCAGAGAAGATCAAATAAAACTGGGATAAGACCTTTTTACTGGAAATTTAAGATGAATAACAGGATAAATTCCAACAATATAATCTACAACACAATATTTAGTTCAGAGAGAAACACAAAATCTTCTGTACCGCTAGAGCTTGCTCCATCTTCCATAAGAACCTTTCAGAAAATCTGGAACCAACCCAAAGGATCAACCTAACCCAGCCCTCCCTGACTCTCTCTCTCTAGAATTCCTGTTTTTCTGTCTCTTTCTAGCTCACTGCTGCTTTACAAGATTACAACATTATAGGTTTATAACGTTAAGTTGACAGCTTCGTGACCTTTACAAATGAAGACCATTTTTTCTTGTTCTTCTTAATAATTTATGTCTGGCTAACTGCCTCTTTTCTCCATTAGCTAGCTAATAGAGTAGTAATAGCTAATAAGACTTTTACACTTACCATTTTGTTGACTTTTATGACTTTTTGTTATTACGGAGTATTATTATTGTATATTTTGTAAACTGGAAATTTCGTATTTGGATCTGGGTGTTATTACGACATCAAATAGTGCATATTTGTTTTACTATGTATATCAAGCAAGGTTGTTTTTATATACCAAGTATTTGTTTTTACTTACTTATTTCAATCAGATATCATACCAGATCAGACTTCCGTAGTTGTAAAATACGCAAAGATCAAACATTTACCAGACATGTTTATACCATACCAGACTTAAATAGGTCATATCAGACTAGACCAGAAATTTTCAGTCCAAGTAATGAAGTTTGAAACTAAGGTGTAAAGTTTAATCATGAAATTGTCTCAATCTACTGAAATTACTGAAGTTAAAAGTGAAACAGCTGAATCGGTTGAAAATGTTTAAATGTATATCTTTAAACTATATTTAAAATTTATATTATATACTACAGAGTATTACTAACTCCGTCCCACTCAATAAGATGGTCGCAGGGAAACCTTCAAGAAGATGGTCGGTTTCGTTTTTGGAAATTGCAGACCTTTCATTCAGGGAAGGTATTTTGTCCGGGCATATTCTAAGGGAAGGGAATTAGGTTGCCCACCATCTGACCCAAATTGATACTCCTAGCAAATATGATAGCCCTCATCGGTTGCCCATTTATGCTAAATAGACGGGATGCCCACCATTGGCATCCCCTCTATTCGTTTTTAATCTTATTCTTGTATTTCGGGTCAGGTCTAGCCCCAATTTCGGATTTTTCTTATTGATTTAATTTTTATTCTGTGTAATTTGAGAGACATTGGTCTAGTCCTCCTATCATGTAACCACTCTGTCGTTTAATAAAATTCTGGTAAATGACACCCGGCATTTACCCCACTGATTTTGGTGGTTTGCCTTCTGGGTTAAAAAAACTCTGTCCCACTCAATTTTGGCAAATTAATGTTTGATGTGAAATTAGAATAGTAAAAACTGTGAGGTTGATATTTGTGCAGATGACAGAGAAATGGATAGGGTCACAAATTCATTGCTTCAACAGAAAAGTGGTGATTTTTTTGGATAAAAAAAAAGAAAGCTGGCAAAGTCTAGTGGAACGGAGGAGGTATATAATTAAGAAGAAGTTATATCGAAAAATCTTAAAATGAGGTTTTCAGCCAATTCACTTGAAAGTAACGATGTTTTTACTTGGACTGTTTTCAGTCCTAGACCAGAGCGACCAGACTTAAATAGACCAGACCAGACCAGATCACACTTCTATACTTATAAAATACACAGAGATCAAATGTGTACCACATCAGACTAGTTTAGACCAGACTTAAACAAACCAGACCAGATCACTAGACCAGACCAGCAAATTGAAGTCTAAGTAAGGATGTTTTTACTTGGATTATTTTCAGTCCCGGACCAGACTTAAACGGATCAAACCAGACCAGACTTCAATAGAACAGACCAACCAGACTTAAACAGACCACACTAGATAAGACTTGACTTACGTAGTTATAAAATACACAAAGACCAGACGTTTACCAGACCAGACTTAAACAGATCAGACCATGCCAGTAAATTACAGTCCAATTAAAGACATCCTAAAAACATCCTAAAATACACAAGAACCAGACTTTACCAAACCAGACCAGTTCAGATCAGATCAGAAAATTTCATCCAAGTAAAAAGATCCTAACTATGGACTTACTTAACACAATCTTCAATTCAACAATGTGAACGATACAAACGTGATATGAGAGATATAGAAACATAAAATTAAACCATCGAAGTTTTTCTCTCTTTCTTTACCCAACCTTCTATATATTTAGTTGTTTTTTATCAACAAATTCAAACATAATGTCAAATCTAAACTTTGTCAGTTTGTCATTGACATTTTTAGAGAAAAATTACTACAAATTGATAAAACCTCTTAAATAAGGAGATAAATTACATTTACTCCCTCCGTTTCTGAAACAAGTTCCACATTTCCTTTTCGGGCAGATTCAAAATTAAGTTCCACTTTCAAACATTTCCTTATTATCTACATCAAAACAGTGTCAAACAGTGCCAAACAGTGTTCAAACAGTGCCAAACAGTGCACTCCACAGTAAAGTCAATTTTATTTTCTTAATATGTGTGAAGTCAAATGTGGAACTTGTTTAGGAATCGGAGGGAGTATTAATTATTATGTGTTTTCCTTTTTCATGTTATATGCATACCGTGTACAATGTTGCATCCGATATGGTCATTGTTATTATTATAGAATCCATAGCCCGATATAAAAAATCCATGTTTGGTAAAAGTAGTTCGGAATTGACAACTTTTCAAAGAAACTCATTTTCGCATATTATGTAAAAACAAATAATAAATAGAAAGTACTATGTACATACTACATAGTATTACATCACTCATTTAACAGCCACAAAAATATACGTAGTATCTTATTACTCCCTCCGTATTTGAAAGTTCTTTACGATAGTTTATTTGAGCACAACATTTAAGAGTGAAGTAGTATGGGTAGTCAATAGTGTATAAAAAGTAGAAGAAAATGAGGTAAAGTATGAAAGACAAGATAAAAAGTACTCCGTATGAAAATTATGAGTAATTGAGTATTTTTAAATGAAAAACTTACCAAAAAAGGAAAGTATAACAAACTCTTAGTATACCTTAAAATATATGAAAGTGTAACCCACCTTAAAATATAGGGAGGGAGTATTAAAGTTTAAACATAACGATCATGGTTGTGACTTATGGTTATCATTTCCCTTTCCTTTTTTCAGATGTGAAATGATTATTGATTATTACATGTGTCGTGTGGGAGGGTGGTCAAAATTTGATGGAAAAACTAAATTGAGGTTGAAAATAAGGCTTGTTGCTTTTGTGGCGGAGAATTGTGATCATGTAATTATTATCTGAATTCTTTTTTTAAAAAAATTATCTGAATTTTTTTTAAGTTATCTGAATTCTTTAACCCCCAAAAAATGAACTTTGGTTTTAAAGGGGCAAATTATACGAGTCCGGCTCCTCTCCAGTACATACGGTACTAGAGCATTCCATTTGATTTATTAGTAGGATGTCACATGCCCACTTATAAAATTAAAGATCTGGATACGAAGTACTCATTTGCCCCACTCATTGGCTTCTAGGAAGTACTTAAGTTATCTGTTTTTTAAGCAATGTTTAAAAAATTGCTTAATTTAGAGAATGGGTAATTCAAGAAATTAATAAAATTTGTATATTACTCCCTCCGTCCCATAAAATAAGTCTCATTTCAATTTAGATCGGAGTTTAAGAAAGTGGGAATAAAGTGGAAATGTATGGTTGTGGTTGAGTAAGAAAAAGGTAAATGAATGTTAACCACACAAAACTTTCCAAAAAGGGAAATGGGAACAATTTTTTGGGACGGCCCAAAAAGGGAAATGGGACTTATTTTATGGGACGGAGGGAGTACTTATTTAATAAGTTAAACAAATCTTATTAAACTTATTTAACTTATTAAATAAGTAATGAGTTAAACAAATCTTATTAAACTTATTTAACTTATTAAATAAGTTAAACAAATCATCCATCCTATCCAAAACCTGCAGCCGTCTCCCTTTAATAAGGGTTCCCGTCTTCGCCGTCTTGTGTGCGACATTTAGATTTAGTCGTCCTTTGGAGCGACGATTAGGTTAGCAGAGAACGAATTGTTCGCAGGAATATCGCTAGGCGTGATGTGGCGGCTGATGGAGAAGGAGTTGCGCGAGCCAAGGGATGGAGAAAGGGAGGTGTTCAGAAGGGGCTGAAATTGCGGGGCAGATGAAGGTTGCGCGCCAGGGAATCAATCGAGCGACGGGCGGGAGCTGTGCCTTGTTTGTGTCAACAATCATAGCGATGATCCGGTCTCCTCATGAACCATCGTCAGGGGATGAACGAGGTGTTAGGGTTCAAGATACTTGTTTTGTTTATTTAGTTTTTTTCTTGTTTACTCCTCCTCCTATTAGTTTTTATTATTTTATCATTTGGTTTCTTGTTACCGTCTATGTTGTTAGGATTGTCAGTTTGTTTGGGAATTTAGCTTCCTTATATGTCATTGGGTATGTTTGGATCTGTGAGAACATAGATGGTTGTGTCAAGCCCGATGCATGGTTAGCGATTCGTGTTGCTCTTTCAAGGGTGACCATCTCTAAGTCTGATCATAGGATTTACAGTCGTAGTTGTTGGAGTTTAGATGATGTCAGATTTGTTTTTCCTTTGATTGATGTAATGATCCTGAAACTTATGATATGAATAGAGACAAGTTTCCGTTAAAAAAAAATTAAACAAATCAACGAACATCAAAATCACAAGTAACACTTTAATGTCTAAATTAAAAAATGCAGTTTGAATCATCATCAATAAACGTCCCAAATTTCTATTCGTAATGCAAATTAACGACTAAAACCAAAGCTTCAAGTTTCAATTTAACAAGTCTTGCAAAATGCTATCCACAATGTAAATTAACAAAAAATAGTTTAACAAAAATTGATCTTAAAAATGTTAAACTAAAATATATAGTAAAATCATATTTTACTAAATTTGTTGATTTTTTCTCTTTTTCTGCACTTCATGTGTCTTTCTTTTTGTTGATAATTTTTCCACCCAAGCTTTAGGCCGCTTATTTCCCTTCTTAGAAGAATCATAAGATAAGTCAAAAGAGAAGAGACGGTAAAAAAACGGGTAGGGTTAACTGATAAGTCCATTTTTGTACTTATTTTTCTTATCAAAGTTAAGCGATTTTGGATTGAAAAATAGAAAAACAAGGCATGTTTTATATATTTTGGTTCAAGTTTCGTGAAATCA